AGAGAGAGACAGAGAGACAGAGACAGAGAGACAGAGACAGAGAGACAGAGAGACAGAGAGAAATGTTTGAAAAGGATATACTATAAATGCTTGAAAAAACTTTTTAAAGAAATTTCTCTTGTGTGCTTACAGCCTGACCTATTTATTCTGAATCCTAGCTCTTAATATGCATTCATCAGGGATATTTTCTCTTTTGTCTTTAGTGGAAAAGGCTACTATCCGGCCAGCTAAGAGCATGGACTCGCTCTGCTCAGTGCCTGTGGAAGGTGAGGCTTTATAGTTTCTGGGCACCACAAGTAGGGGACCGGAGCTCACCCCACACTTGCCAGCTGTGCATCTGCAGTCACGATCACATGTGGCCACCAGTCCCGATTTCTCCCCAGACCTACCCCAAACTGAGGCTGTCTCATAGCTAAGGCCATAACCTCCCCTGCTGTGCCACCCGCTAGGCCTCAAGAGCCTTCATCAGTCTCCAGCCTTCTTGTAACCACAGCCAGGAACCAGGATTCCTTTTCATTGAAAGCTGAGCCAGGTAAAAGAGGCAGAAGAAACTTGTCAGGAAGAGCCAAACATCGGTTTCTACCTTGTTGTCTTTCCCATATACCTCATAGTTGTCTGTATCAGTAAACACTGGTTAGGCACCTATAGTGTGTCAGGTGAGCAGAGTTGGTGCACATTTCCCTTGTTGGCGTGGGTGTGTGTGCAGCCGCAGCTTCATAGGCTGTAGCCACAGCCACCAAAACAACACATAAGCACATTTGTCCTCACAATGCTTGCATTAACAGCTGACTTGTCTGCATCTCACTCTTCCTGTTAAGCATTTTTTTGTTTTGTTTTGTTTCCTATTAAGCATTTGTTAAGCAACTAACAAGTTACAAGGCAAAGGGCCTCCCTGAATGCAGGGTGTTTAAACTCTCTTACAAGGTGTGATCAAAAACTATGGTGATGATTTAAATATTAAAAAATCACATTGTCACTAATCATTTTCAAAATACTCCCACTTGCTCCAAACACACTATCCCATCATTCTTGCTGCTTTCTGAAGCAGTTCCGGAATTCCTTCTCCATGAGTGTCTTTAGTTACACTATCCTGGCACTTAGAGGTCCTGAATCAAATCAGAACATTTACCTTTCCTGGTCATGTTGACTTTGGGGAAGAGCCAGAAATCACATGATGCCAGATCCAGAGAGTGAGGTGGCTGACAACACTCCGTGATGTCTTCATGAACCTGCCTTCTGGTTGGATGGCCCTTAGCTATGGCATTCACTGGATTGCTGATTAAACCCATAAAGACATTCATGAGAAGGGCTTCCAGAACCACACAAGGAAGTGGCCAGAAAAAAGGGACAGTATGTTCAAAGCCAAGGAGAGTATTTTGGAGGGGGAAAAGTGGCAAAGTATCTGCTACTGTAATATTTTTTACACATTTTAAACATTTACTGTATGTTTTGACCCCCACTTGTATATTTATTCTATAACTTTATGATCATCTAAATACAAGGCATTTTTCTATTTGATAAATGAAGCAGTCTGAGACAATATAGGAAATATTTAGAACACTTTACAAAATTATGTACTGCAAATATGTACTAATGAAATTTTAAAACAATATTTCCAAAGGTGTGAAATACTCAGTGAGATCCTTTTCAGCTGTCTTGATACTTTTAGCATTTGTCTCTCATTTATATCCATCCACTGGCTTTGGTTGTGAAGCCTCTTAGGAAAGTCCTTGCAGGGCATAGTATGCCGGGATCCAGTACCTGTGACTTACATGGATGCCAGGTGGGTTACCTAGTCTCTGTCCCAGCTTTCTCACCTGTTAAAGGAGATACAAAGAATTTTAAATAAAGTATTATGTAAGATGCCACATAAGATGCTGCCAAATTCATGGCAATTCACATGTCATCTTTCAGCCTGTTTATTCCCATACAGAGGTCTCCCCTGTTCGCCTTCACTTCTAAATCAATCAAGGACTTGCTGCTCACTACCAGGCTTTCTAACCATTACTTACTCACATTCCTGATTTCTCATTCTCTGAATCCACAGGATGAAGTAAGGGAAAATGCAGAAAAGGTCTAAGAGAGAGTAGCATTGGTTTCCTTGGTGGGAAATCAAACTCTGGCTAGATCTGCCTGATAAAGTTTCAAAATGAAACAAGATTCTGTTATTTTGCTCTTTGCGTCATCTTCATTTTGAGCAAATGCCGTTCTGTGGTCTCCTGTCTGCCAGTGTTTTCACTGTCTGCATTTAATGCTTGGTAGGTGCTCTCCCCACGGTGGTTAAGACACACAACACGACAGCAGTGGCCAAAATCTGTGCACACGAGAAAATGTTTTCTCCTTTGTCGGCCCAGTGCTACGTTCCCATCTTCCTTAGGCTGCCCCTGTGCTCACGAGAGTGCCGCAATTTCAAGACGCTCAGCTGCCCCGAGCCTGCCCTTCCTGGAGGCCTGCGCTGTATGCAAGCCTTGGATGCTGACCAATGTGCCTGTTCTTTTTCACTAGGAAAAGAAACCAAAGGAAATTTCGGTCGAACAGTCACTACTGGTGGATTTTTCATTCCAGCCACGAAATTGCACGCGACCAGCACTGGCAGCTCCTGTGACCTCAGAAAGCAGGAGAGTGAATGGGGCCAGGAGGGGGTGCCTGCAGGGGCTGAGGGGGGCTTTGACATGGGGGGTGACCGAAGCCAACTCCAGGGTGCTCAGATCCGGGCCCCGCCCGAGCAGCTGAAGGTGTTCCGACCTATCGAGGACCCTGAGATAGAGCAAACAGCCCCAAAGATGTTGGGGATGTTCTACACCTCGAGCGACAGCCCCGGCAAATCCGTCTTCAGCGGCAGCCTCTTCCAGACAGAGCCCTCACCCCACCATCAGCGCAAGGCGCTCAATATCTCCGAGCCCTTTGCGGTGTCCGTGCCTCTCCGAGTGTCTGCGGTCATCAGCACAAACAGTACCCCGTGCAGAACACCCCCCAAGGAGCTGCAGTCCCTCTCTAGCCTAGAAGAGTTTTCTTTTCAGGGCTCAGAGAGTGGAAGCTGGCCCGAGGAGGAGAAGCCACCAGGAGCCGAGACTTCTACAGGTAAATGAGGGGACACGCTCTTTTTCTACAGCAAGAAAGAGAAACCAGACGCTGCAAGGTAGTGTAACCAAGTGGTTTGGACTGGGGGCTCCACAGCCAGACTGAGCACAATTCCAGGCTGTGCCCTTTGGCTGCATGATCTTCAGCATGTTGACATAACCACCCTGTGCTTCAGGCTCTTAACCTGTTACATGGAAACAAGAGTGTTACTAAATGCACCTTCTCCTTAAGTTTGCTATGATTGTTAAGTTAGTTAATACATGTAAAGCTCTCAGAACAGTATGTGATACACGGTTAGTACTTAATGAATGTTATTTATTTTCTCAGAAGGCAAGAGGAAAAGTGCAGAATGGAATGTAGAGCTACAGAGCTGGAACAGAAGGTTCAGCTCTTTCAGAGTCATTTATTCTTAATTCATCTATCTCTTATTTGTACCTCATATCTGCAGAAGAACGTGGCTAGCAAACCTAGCAATGAGATAGAGCATTTCCTGTCCTGTCAGCTTGCTATGCAGCACGGGCTCTGATTGGCTGTGCTTGAGTCACGTGTCCAGCCTTGGCCCAACCCCTGTTGCCGGCTATCGGGTAGTAAGAGGGGTTGGGCCAAGTCTCTGGGTTGTGCCTAGAGTAGTGAAGGGCTCTTTGATCGCCACCCCTACCTGTGCCACCAAAAATGGAAAGAGACAAAGCCCCAACGGAAATGATGGCTGACAGTAAAATGCCCACTTGTCTAATTGTGAATTAGGACTATTTCTGGTTTTTGTTTGGTTTTTTTTTTTTTTGGCAGAACCGGGGATTAAACTCAGGTCCTTGCGCTTGCCAGTGAAGCCTTTATTCCACTAAATCATCTCCCCGGCCCGTAAACTATTTCTGTTTTAACTGATATTAGCGAGCTTGTTGCAGTATGTTGGTACTTCAGTGCCTTCAGCGCTTTGCTGTCAGGCATGTCCTAAGTGTTATATGGGTGTGACCTGAGGTCTCCTCATAACAGTCCCATAAAGTGTTATTATCCCAGCTTCATTAGAGAGGAATATGTAATTTGCTCAAAAATTCATAGGAAGTGGTAAACACAAGAATTTTAATGCAGATTTTTTTAAAAAACAAGTCTTCACTTGTAAGCACTCCGTCACACTCCCCAATGTGCTTACTACAAGTTGTGGAGAAAAAAAGATTGTTGATGCTCAGTCCCTTTCCCCAGGGAGCTCACCACCAGGAGGAGAAACTAGAACTGCACTGATGCAGCGCAGGTCAGCCTATGGAGCACGCAAGCGCCTTCACCTCGTTTCTGGATTGAGGGAGGACTTAGGTATCGGAAGTCTACGCAGGGAGTATCAGAAAAGACTGAAGGGGAGAGAGGAATCCTCCTAGGAGAGTTCTATAAAAACTTAAAAGGAGTGACATTCAGGCTGCGTCTTCATAGATGGGTAGGATTTTTTCTGTGCAGAGAAAATGAGAAATGGCATTTGGGCCTGACAGGCAACTGGACATTGCAGAAAGTGTGTAGGGTTTGAACATCAACTGGGCTAATTCGGATCCCTGCTTTACCACCTTTTAGCAGTGTGACAGTGGGTGAGTGGTTGCTATCTCAGAGCCTTTCTCCCATCTATGAAGCAGGGGAGACTTCTCTCTCAAAGCCCTGGGATCTGAGAGCATAGATCTGAATGAGGAAATGTCCATGAAATACCTGCCTGTGGTCTGGCTCACTGCAGGTGCTCTGTAAGAATAAGCTGGCTCCTTCTCACCTTTGCCTTCGTGATAGGGCCAGTGAGCCAAAACTCAGGGACATCGAGTGACATCCTGTCTGGAAATGGTCCTTGGGCAGAGCAGGACAAGGGAAAGAGGAGAAACAGAGCCTTTCTGGAAAACAGGGCATCCCAGGGTAGTGAGATAGCTGCTTAGGCAAGCACGGGGACTGGGGTTCGATCCCCAGCACCATGTGCTGCAATGGCCCTGTCCCCCAGGGGCACTGAACTAGCCATCAAGTCCAGGTGTGGTGGCACGCACCCGTAATCCTAGCACTGGGGAGGCTGAAAACAGGAGGATCACTATGAGTCCGAGCTGTGTAGTGAGATCCTGTACCAAATACATTAAAAAAATAAAAATAAAAATAGGGCTTCCAAAGGCTTGGTTATTATCTCCAAAACAGAGGGTATCAGGCTGCAAAGTCTTGTGGAGACAGTCTCTCTTCTGTGTTTTTCCCTGACAGAAATAAATAAGAATATCAAGTCTACATTAAATTTGGCCTGGGAAAGACACGAGTGTGGACTCCTGCCCGTCCTCCTGCCTGTATTTGTTGGGGAGGGACAGAGTAAGGGGCCTTATGCAGGCAGCCATGCAGATCTGGGACAAGAGGCTGAAGGGCGATGCTCACCAGAAGACACCAGGACAATAGGGCCCTCAGCCTTCTCTCTTGACAGGCTTATGCCAGCTTAGATTTCTTCTCTTCCCCCCATCATCACTTCACCTTCATGATGATATATTTTTCTTTATGCAGTAGCAGTGGGCAAAAGAAAAAGAAAAGTTTTCCAGATTACCTCATTAAAATTTTTAGTCAATATAATTAAGGGAATTTTTCTACTTTGGGCCAAAATAGCTGAAATTTCAATGTGACCTCAAGGAAAAGCCATACAAGTAGTGCAGCTTAATTAAAGTGTTTATAACTACATTATTGACTGTTTCAAATTAAAGGGCTAATCAGTGTCACTATCTAATTTGCACCTGATTGAAGGCTATGCCCTGCTAACCTCAGCAGGGAGATAAAAGCATCACAGACTCCCTTTTGCAAGGGAAGGGAGACATACCAGCTAGCTCAAAAGCTACAAGGACTCTGCCTCCCCTTCTCCAAATGCTCATTATTACAACATCGGAGTAATCATAGTGTCAAGGAAACCTGACAAATGAAAATCTACAGTTGCCCTAGTAGATATTGGGAGTTGTTTCATTCTTTTACTGAAGCACACAACATCGAAAAAATGCTGCCAAGAAGATAGCTCAGGGGCACAGTGCCTGCCTGGCAAGCACAAGGTCCTGAGCTCGATTCCTGATACCAAAACACAAATTCTTTCCCAGTATTGTTTTTGGAGCCTTGTTTCATGAATGGTCAGAGCAATTCAGAAGCAGAACATAACTCACAATAGGGTGTTTTAAACAATTTGTTTAACTGTAGCACTCTAAACTGCCTTCCACTTATTTTGATGCGTCTCTTTCCCATGGTGATTAGCGGATCTTTATGCCAGTAATAGCTATTTCCTAAAATGTGGCCATCTGGGCATACGCCTGTGTCGTACCTTCACCCATGCCCACAGAATTCTCCTGATCTGTATTGGTCACTGGACTCAATACCCCAACAACCAAATTCCAAGCCATGGAAAAGAGGAGGAAGCCAAACAGCCTCCCTCATAGATGTAACATCAAAATTGCACCTGTCACTTCCACACCACGCTGTTGCCAACGCTTGTCTTCCACAGATGCACCTGCCTTCAAGGGGAGCTGAAAAAGGTGGTCACTAGCTGGATAGCCACATGCCCAGCTGGAACTCAGGAAGTGAGGGGAGTTCCAGCTCCACACAGAAGAGGCTGATGCTGAGGGACAGTCCGTCTCCCTGCTCACTCACCTCCTGGTGGGAAGCCTTCCTGTGGTAGCTTGGAATCACCCACCATATCTGTCAAAGCTGGAGGTCCTTAGCAGGCAGCTTCCAGGGATAGATAATGGCTCTGTCTTGAGGAACAAACCCTCAGATGGAACCAAGAACATGTGAAAATAGGTGACCCAGGGATGCAGCCCACACAGATAATAACCTGTGCTGCTGCAGGAGAGGAAGACTCCAAAGAGGTGGCATAAGGTGTGTCCCCAAAGAAAGGATTCCATTCAGATCCCAGGGAGAACTAGGGCAGGGGACAGCAGGCCTGTGTGTAAGAGAAGAGCAGACATGTGGCTGACCTTGCACACCCTGGTGGATGCTGGCAGTGAGGGAGCAAGGGAGAATAAGATTACATTTGCGGCCAGCTCTTCCCTCCTCCTCACACCAGAAGCCACGTAAAGGGGTCAGTCAATGAATAGAAGACCTGAGTGCTACAGAAAGACATACCAGCAACTATTAGATCTACACAGAATACTTAAAATGTCATGTGTGTGTGTTTTTAGTAAGGGTCTACAGGGTCTCACTACATAGAACAGACTCGTAGTGATCCGCCTGTGTTCAGCCTCCCAAGAGCTGGGATTACAGGGACAAGCCAGCACACCCAGTCTCATCAAATGTCTTTTTAAAAAACTAATGCACCTGCCCTTCTCCAGAAGTCTCACTTTCAAGAATTTACCCTGAATAAGTTGTTGCACAAGTCCAGAGCAATGTGGGCACATGATGATGTTGCTCTTGACAATAGCGAAAGGCTGTGTGTGCAGCGCCCCCCACCTGCCCTCCCACGGTGCCTCTGAGGGGACCATTTCCCTGCTTACAGAAGGCAGGAGGAGTTTCTCTCCAGTATCTACCTTGTGTTTCTGGTTTCCTGTGCCAGGGCTTTTCTTGCAGGTAGAATCTTACTTAGCCCTTTCTTGGGCCACCTTTTAGTACAGAAGATCAAGTGGGTCACTCAACCAGCACAAACCCAGAATCTGTGGACAAATGACCCAATCTCACATTTTTCTGAGGGGTAGCTGAGGGGCACAGCCACACAAGGCCATGGTGGCTTGCAGTGGTAACAGGCTCAACAACATATTTTGGGTGACTTCTCTCCGCCACCGTCTTACCCCCTCACTCCTCCTTCCAGGTACTTCCTTCCAAAGAAGCTGCCTGCTGCTCTGACTTCATCTCAGGGTTTGCTTTGAAGGGATCCCAAAGCAGGGCTCACCCTAAAGAATAACCTGTCTCGGGGGCCAGGGTGATGGCTTGGTGGAATAAGTGCTTCCCTGGCAAGCACAAGGGCCTGAGTTCAATCCCTGGTTCCGCAAAAAAAAAAAAAAAAAAAAAAAGGAACCTGTTTCCCTTTAGACTAACGTGGCCTGGACTTCAAGATACATTCACTGAAGATGTGCAAAACAAAGAATAGCACAAATATGCTATATTTTGTGTCGTAAGAGTAAGAAATAAAACATTACAAATGCCTATACATATACAAAAAAAATGCACTGAAAAAAACTAATGAAAGCAATCATGTAGAAAGGATAGTAGGAATGTTGATCAGGATAGAAGCAACAAGAATGAAAGAAAACCTAAAGAATGGCTTTTTATGTAGTTTTAATTTTTCCACTCTGTACCTGTTTTACATATTTGGAGATTAAATTATCCAGGCATGGTGGCATAAACCTGTAATCCCAGCTAGTCGGGAGGCAAGAGGATTACAGGTTCCAGGCCAGTGTGAGCAAAATAGTGAGACCCTGTGTTAATATGGGTAGAGTACTTATCTAACATGTGCAAGGCCCTGGGCTCATTCCTAAGAACCACAAAAATTTTTTTTTTCAAAAAATAATCCTAAGTAATGGATAAAAGAAAATGGTATTAAAGTTAACTCCAAAGCATTGTTAATCCATTCATCAAGATGCTGCCCCTATGGCTGGCCAACCTGCAGCAGGTTGGCATCACGGTAAACACTGGGAGCTAAATCACCAGATTGACTAAGGGCAAAGGGCAGAGTTGTTGTTGTTGTTCTTTTTGCAGTACCAGGGATTAAACTCAGGACCTAGCACTTGCCAGGCAGGCACTTACTACTGAGCTATCTCCTTCCCAGGGTTCGTTCTTAGTTTACCAACTTTTCTGAGTTTGCATCGAGCAGACCGAGCTATGTGCTTTGCCTGTGCTACCTCCTTCTTCCTCATCTGGCAGTGCAAAGCATTCCATGAGGCCACTATCCTAAGATGATAAGATTCATTGAGAAACTAGAATTTGACAGGACACCTACTTCATGCCCTTGTAAACAATGGCATTTGTTGAGGATCTGCTGGTGCTGAGCACTGTCTGGGCATTTTGCTTAGTTTTTATTCTACATCCTTTTCTTGTACAAGGTAGAAGGGGCCCAGTTTGAGGTCTGCCTCCTTCTTGTGTCAGGTGCTCAAGACAGGAGTTTGGTCACTTCTGCTGGATCTGAATTAATTTGGTGACCCTGAGAAGTGTCAACCATATGACCTCTCTGCAGCTTGGTACAAATAGCAGACTTTTGTGGTCTTGGGCACCCAGGTTGACTTCTTAGGGCCAGAGTATTTATTTGTGAAGTGAAATGCTGGGCAGGGGCAGGAGCTCCTAACTATTGACATTTCAGGCTGGATAATTTTTGCTGCCAGCAGGAGTGGGGGCACTGCTGGAGAATATTTATTTAACAGCATCTTTGGCTTTCAAGCTGTAGATGCCAGTAGTGACCCTCACCTCTCCCAACCCTGGGACAACCCAAAATAGCTCCAGACACTGCCAGTGTTCCCTGGTGGGGGAGAGATGAGTAAAATGACTCTTGGTCGAAAACTGCTGGACTGGACGATCTTCCAGCTCACTCCTTCTTTGACAGTCTGGGACTCCATGACCTGAGATCAGGATACTGTGGGGAGAAGAGGTTAAAGACTGAGGGGCAGTGAGTTGGGAGAATCCCTCGTTCTTATGAGGCAGGGCCAGGAGGCAGGTTGGTGACTGTATTGGGGACAAATTGTCTGCCAGTGAAGTTTGTGTACATGAACTGATCCCTGCCACCCCCTCGCAGCCCCTGTTAAGAATGCCATTCCGGAGGATGCCTCACGCCAACCTGATGGCCAGGCAATGGCAGGATGCAGCCAGCGTCTTTCCCTGGAGCCGGCTGCCCATCTGGAGAAGAAAACTTCAGAAGCTGACCTGGCCTCACATTCAAGGGAATCAGAAAAGAGAGCAAAACCAGAAAAGGTGGAGGAGGAAGACCAAGGGGCCAACCCAGTGGGGGCCACTGCTCCTCCACCAGAGAGCCCTGGGGCCAGAACTGAAGCTGCATTTCTCCATGAGACGGTAAGGGGGACTCACATATGCTCTAGCCATGTGCAGTCTTCTTTTTCCTGGAGGTCTTGGTCCAATTTAAAGTAGGTTTAAAAGAATTGGTTTCTGCCAAAGAAACTTGGGGAGAGTCACTTCTAAGCAGACCTAGAATTTCTATTTTGCACTGGGTTTTTCAGGAGTCCAGTGACAGAAAGGAGCTGTCAACCTGAGACCCCTCGTAACAGCTTCAACTCTTGTTTCTGACCTAGAGTCACCGTAAGCCAGTGATGTATCCTTGAGCTGTAATGATGTTCAGTCAGTGGCCACATAAAACTTGTTTGTCTTAGCCTATGCCTAATATGATGCTCATCCTGAGAGCCTGTCTTCTTTTCCCAGACATCCTGGATGGCTGGTTGTCTAGGCTTCCTTCTAAAGTCTAGGAGATTTCCAGGGTCCACCTCTTCTAACTGTGGCTCCTGGAGACATTAAAAGACCATGCCAGAGCTGATGGAACCTTGTCCTCTTTAGAGCTGGAATTTTCCAAGAAGGATTTTATGAGCTGTTTTTACATAAGGTGTGGGGAGGTTTCCTGGGGACACTCAGGGAGGAGTCCCACATTTGGAAGGTGGCTCTGTAGAGTATGCCAAAGGGAAAAAAGGAAGCTCATTGCCTTTTAATTTGCTTCAAAGACACGTGTTACAGAGGCATTGCTGGAAGTTAGGGCAGAGCTGGGGCCCCCTGGTGGCCAGGAGGACTGAACGAAGGTTCCTATAAGACCTGGTTGCATTTGTAGAAAGAGAAGGATGCAGAGATTTTTGTGGGAATTGCACTCTTATAGGAAGGACCAAAGTATGAGTGGCATTGTTTTGAGAAGCAGATGAAATTAGTGCTGGAAACACTAGGCTGGATTCAGAGGACAAGTAAAGGCATCCATTCCTTCATTTAAAACATGTTAAGCTAGGTGTGGTGGCATATGCTTGTAGTCCCAGGCTATTTAGGAGGCTAAAACAGGAGGATTGCAAGTTCCAGGCCAGCCTGGGCTACATAGCAAGACTTTGTCTCAAAAGAACAACACAGTGTGTCAGATACCCACTTTGTACCACTCTGTTGAGCACTAGGATCATTGCAATGGACAGGACTGTCTCCATCCCTACTTCCTTAGAGCTCAGTCTAATAGGGAAAAGTCATTGAACAAGAAATTTCCAGGGTGCAGTGGAAGTGTGGAACACAGCATACATTATAGGAAGACCTAATATAAGCAGAGGGAAGAAAATTGTCACAAGAGCCAAGACAATTAGTCTTGATTGACAACTTGATTAGTAAAGCACACTGCTGAGCATGTTTCAGTGGTCCCAGGAGGTTGACTTTGGAAACTACATCTGGTCTGTAGTCCATTCTCTCTCTTTGTCTCTCTCTTACTCTCTCTCTCTCTCTCTCTCGCTCTCGCTCTCGCTCTCGCTCTCGCTCTCGCTCTCTCTTGCTCTCTCTCGCTCTTGCTCTCCCTCACTCTCTTTGCTTCCTGGCTGATATGAGGTAAGCAGCTGCCCTTCCACCATGAAGTTTCTCCTTAAAGCCAGCCAAATATTGCCTGAAACCACTACACCAGCAGCAAAATTAAACCTCTCCCCTATTTTGTTGCATGTGAGGTATTTAGTTCCAGCAACAAAAAGTTAATTCAACCAGAGGATTTCTCTGAAGAATAGATACATAGGTTGATAACTTGCTGAAAAAAAGGGGATTAGGGGTGTATTTCCAAGCAGAAAGAACAAGATATGCTATTAGTCTGAGTTGGGAAAGAGCCTGACATTCATAGATGGAACAAAGCCAGGAGAGCAGGCTGGAGAAAGTGTGGCTCCCTAGTGGCATGACTGCCTGGAAGGGTCTGGGGCTCAACCTAAGGGTAGAGAAAAACCTATGATATATTCAGAATTTGGTCCTTTAAAGGTCACTCTGTTCTGTGAGAGGACTATCTTGGAGAAGGACAAGAGAGAGGGGCAGGGATGCCAGCCAGGGGCTGCCATGAGGCAAACCAAGTGAGGGATGATGGTAGCTTAGCCTAGGGCGAGTCCGTGGGGATAGCAGTGGAAGGACTCCAGCTGTTTAGGAGGCTGAGTGAAGAGGACTTAGTGAAGGATTGAACATGGAGCAAGGATGAAGGGACAAAGACAAATTGTAGCTCTTTGATCTGGCCAAATTTCCATTGTGATCCATACACTGAGACATCAGAGAGCTCAAAGGAGAGAAGTTTAGAGGTCATTGAGTCATTTAATTCATTGATTTCTTAGTAAGTGATTAAGTAATTAATGTAGATGCTGAAGAACGGTAAGAGACAAGAAAAAAAATATTACCTCATCTCATGGAAAAATAGTGTATACACTTAAATGTAGTACAGTAGAATCAGACTATGTTCAACCGAGTAATCCAGATTTATCTGAAAGAAGTAACTTTAGTAAAAACACCACAATTTCAAACTGTCGAGCAGCCAGTCACAGTCTGTCTGGCACCATTTGGCCTGGAGGAATCAAAGGGGAATCAACAGAAGCCCTGAGCTCTAGGAACCCATGGTGCATTGAGAGTAAGAAGCATGAGAGTAATTGAAATGTTAGCTTATTTGAACCTAGGCCTCCTAATCTATAAAACGATAATAGTGTTCATCTCCTATGGTGATAGGAAAACTTAAAAGGATGCAAAGAACTGGACACCCACAGGTGTTGGTGACACTGCATCTTTCCTTAGTGGTCCCTCACTCTGCCTGGCAACAGGGCAAATGTCAGTGTCTAGAGTCCTTGGTTGTATGGTAATCAGTTTTATGATGTTTTTCAGGATGATGATGATCTGACCAACCCCCTTTTCTGGCCTGAGATTCAACAGGAACTGAAAATCATCGAACCTGAAGAGGAGCTCTCCTTGTCACAGCCCCCTTCCCAGAAGACCAACCCAGCTCAGGCAGCTCTGGAGCCAAGCCCAGCATCCTTTCCTTCCCCAGAGGCTCCTGGGAACTTGCCTTGTGGCTCCCTCTCCACTCCAGTCTCTGTCCCTCTAGAGACATGGACTAGGGACTCCACTAATCATGATACACGAGGGGCCACTACAGCAGCCAGCAGGAAGATGCTGGAACCAACCAGTGGCCTCCATAAGTACAAGCACGAGCAAGGCCTGCATCTAGACCGAGCCAGTCTGGCCCATCTGGATATAGTTCCCTTTGAGATGTCTCCACAGGACAGAACAGAGGTAGCAGGCCTGGGGAATCTTTCACCCCTGCTCCAACCTGCTCCTCCCCATCTGACTCCTGTGGAGGAGGTGCCTCAAATCCTGCAGTCAAGGAGTAGCCCTGAGAGAGATCCCTGCAGGAATTTGAGCATCAGTTGTTACACAGAGCAGCCCAAGTCCACAGACATCCCTGGAATCCCTAGGGCCCATCAGGGAGACGAGGTAGCTTTGAACCAAAGTGAAGAGCAAGATTCAAAGAATGCTGCTCCTGAGGCAAAAGCCCCTGGTGTCTCAAGCCCAACGAAAGATGAGGTTTCCCCACCAGGAGAGGAAGATGGAGTCCATTCAGTACAAGAGCCTTCAGACTGTGATGAGGATGACACTGTGACAGACACTGTTCACCATGGCCTAGAGATGGTGGAGCCCTGGGAGGAGCCCCAGTGGGTCACAAGTCCCTTGCACTCTCCCACCCTGAAGGACATGCAGGAGCCCCGGGTACAGAACACCCAAAGCCATCGACTGGAGTGGAAGCTGACCTCCAGGCCTGGCCTTCACCAGAGCCACTCCCTGGACAGCAAAAGCTCCATTTCCACTTGCCAGTGGCCTCTCCACACTCCCTCCTCCAGCAGCTGTGCTAATCTCAAAGCAGAGAAAAATCTCGACTCTCTGCAGCCTCTGGCAGCCAGCAGAGAGCCGACTGCATGGGATGAGAAAGCCCCAAGGCCCTTCAGAGAGTTCTCCAGCCTGCAAGGGAAAGAGGTTCTTCCTGGCCAGAGAGGACCAACTGCTGTGAAGCCCAAACCAGTAGAAACCAGCCCTGCCAGTCTGGCAGAGAGGAAGGAGCTGGGGCCACACTCGCGGCACAGCAATCCACAGATTGAGCCAGGTGATGTTCCAGGGCTAGACCGCAGCAAGGAGGGTTCCCCTGCTGTCCAGAGCAGCACCTCACCTGGAGAGCATCCCCCACAGTTACAGCAGAAGAGTCCTGACTGTGGATCCTGCAGAGGAAAGAACAGGCCTTCTTCCCTCAACTTGGACTCTGCTGTTCCCATTGCTGATCTACTCCGGCTTGGGAACGGGGCCTCATTTAGTTCACCTGGAATGCAGTTGTCTGAGCCAGAAGACCCCAGAGTCACCTGGATGACCTCATCTCACTGTAAAGCAGACCCCTGGGGGGTTTGCTCCCAGGACACCCAGGACCTGGACATGATTGCTCATGCCATGACAGGCCGCCGCCGTAACTCAGCTCCTGTGAGCGTGTCAGCTGTGAGAACCTCCTTCATGATCAAAATGTGTCAGGCCAAGGCAGTGCCAGTCATCACACCCCAGATTCAATACACACAAATCCCACAGCCCCTGCCCTCTCAGAGTGCAGGGGAGAATGGGGCTCAGCCTCTGGAGGGGAGCCAAGAGCCACCTAGCTCAGCTAGTGGAGCCTCTCAGAAACCTGCCAAAGACGAGTCTTCTTCTCCCTTAGACAGCCCTAGGGAAGACAAATCAAAGCCAGACACAGGAGTGATTCAGTGCTCACAGATGGACCTCACCATGTCCTGCATGTGTGAGGGCCCCATCCTTTCTCCAGAACCAGGCTTGCCTAACCTGGTCTCCAGCCAAGATGCAGCAGTGCAGTGCAGAAAACACACATCAGAAACAGAGCCATCTGGGGACAACCTGCTTTCTTCAAAACTCGAGCAATCCTCTGGATGTTCCAAGCCTTTGCACAGGGCAAGGCCAGTAAGACCTCAGAGCCTCATCCTATTCAGTCCTCCTTTCCCCATCATGGACCACCTGCCCCCTTCATCTACAGTGACAGATCCCAAGGTCCTGCTATCCCCCATCAGAAGTCCCACTCAGACAGTTTCCCCTGGCCTTCTCTGTGGGGAGTTGGCAGAAAACACATGGGTCACAGCAGAAGGGGTTACACTTAGGAATAAGATGACCATCCCTAAGAATGGCCAAAGACTAGAGACCTCAACCAGCTGTTTCTACCAGCCTCAGCGGAGATCGGTGATTCTAGATGGAAGAAGTGGGAGGCAAATAGAATGACAGCAGCGCACCAGCTGGCATCTGCAAAGCCATCACGATTGACCTGGACTTCATCACAGGGCCAACTTGCCCCCTTTCCAGGCACAGGTTGTCTAAACATGGGCTTATGGTGGCCTGGGCTTCTAACTCAGCCTTTGGAGCATTCGTTAATACTGCATTTGCCAGAAGAGTAGTCAAGGAAAGACCAAAAGGTGACATTTAGAGAAGTCTGTAGGCAAATGGTCGGGGAGGACAATGGAGTGCATGCCTCGAGTGAAGTGTGGGGCTCGTGAGCTCTGTGACTCCCCTTTCGTCATTCTGTTGCAGTTGGAGCTGGCTGTGATAGTGTCCTTTGAAGGAAAGCAAAGTCCTTCACCTGTGTCAGAAAATGTTATGATTGAGATTCGAAAGCCTGTTCTTCATGCTTTGTAACACTCTTTAAAGCATGTGTTTTTTTTTAAAATCAACTTCTAATAAGCTTTGTACTAGCCAAGAAAGAAGGTTGGGAAACGCAAGTGAACGTGCACTTAGGTATCCCAGGTGAGCTTCCCCTTGTGCTTCCCCTGGAGGCCCTCCAGAACTGCCCAGCAGGACTCTGTGCAGCAGCAAGGAACATCAGAGTCTGCTCAAGAGCAAGCCCTAACACTGGCACGATGCATGAAGACTTTCTCCTCTGGCTTTCATTAACCAGAGACTCCATCTGCCACTGCACTAACCTTGGATTTATAAATCCAGGATCTGCGCAGAGCAGGATCTAAGCTGGGGATTACCTAGTACAGTGTCTGGATGCTTTGTGTGGGGATGCAGGCTTCCAGTTAAGAGACCCCTCATGAGGTGAAGGCACTTGCCTTCTTAACAAGATCAGAACCCAGAAACTGGGTGTCCTCAGAGAAAAGCCTCACACAAAGGCATGAGTACACTGCATACTTACTGTGTTCATATTGGGGTTCTTAGCAGAAAACGTCTCTAGTTCAGCTTCATTCCTCTTCCACCCTGGGGCAGCAGCACAGGAAGGGAGGCAGAGAGAAGCCTAGCAGAGTAGTGATCCTTGGCCCTCCCGGGCAGCTGCCCTCCTTGAAAACTGTATTTCAGCTTAGCGACTGGGTTCCTCTTTTGGTTCCAGGAATTGACTCAGGACCTTGCACTCGCTGGATAGGCACTGTGCTACTGAGCTATATCCCTGGCCCAGTTCTTTTCTTTCTCAAGAGCAAATTTAAAGCTCCCCTGTCCCTTCTACAATTCCCCTCATCCACAAACCAACAACAGGCACTTAGATGTGCTCTTCTCTGTTTGGATACAAGCAGAAGCAATAAACCAATCATTTCTTTCAGTTATTTACAACTTCCAGAGGTTCTCTCCTTGATAGCTAGAGAGAGGACTATTATAACTGCTGGCAGATTTTTGGTGCTGTCCCCCAAAAAAGGCTTCACAGGGCCAGTCTTCTCGGGTTCAATCTTGGCCAAACTCTGTAGGTTTGGTCACTGCAGGTAATTCTCTAGGGGCCTTCAGTTCTGTAGGCAGACCTGGCGACCAGGGCCGTGCTGGGCCCAGGTGGGGCTGAGCTCATGGTCTCCTCTGGTGTGAAGCTGGAAGCTGATGCTCCGCCACAGATCTCTGTGTCCTCCCTGCCCTTCTTCCCTCCCTCCTTTTCTCTGCCCCTCCTCCTCTGGTGCTTTTCTTCCCCGTCTGATAAAAAGCCTCATAGCCTTGAGATCTCTGCTGTACCTGTGAAGCCTGCATCTGTGGCAGGGGGAGTTGGCAGGCCAGCTGAGCAGTTCTGCCTTGGAGAGCACTGAGGTGCCTGGCACAGGGAGCAGTTACGAGGCCCCTGGCGAGTGTTCGTGCTTTCTCATTGGGTGAGCAAGACACTGGACCCACAGCAGTAGGTCAGCCCATAAGAAGAGCCCCAGTATGGGACATTTTCCCGAGGCAAGCTACGTAAAGAAATAGAATGGTGAGAGATGAGAAAGGTCATGATCAGAGATTTCAAAAGCACATTCCTGCCTTATCAGAAAATGTAGCAGAAAAGTTTGATGTCAGCCTCTGTGCACGTGTGGCATGTGCGCCTAGATAGATAAGGAGCACGTTCCAGTTATAATGTGAGAGAGGGAAAGAACTGCACTTTGCCAACCACCAGGACTCTGAGCCAAGAAATGGAATATTTTTTTTAAAACTACTCTATGAATATTTTAAATTTTTGGTTTTTTGTAATACATATTTTTATTTGCAGATAGACTGAGAAGCCACCCTTAACATACTAACATGTGAAGAGGTAGGCATGGAGGGACAAACCTGTAATCCCAGCACTCGGGAGGCTGAGGCAGGAGAATTGCCATAAGTTCAAGGCCAGCCTGAACTACATAGGGTGAGGAGTCACTGTCAAAAACAACAACAAAACATTACTAACAAGTGACTCCAGTTCTCAGGGCCGAGGAGCCTATGCAGATCTGTCAGATGGCTGCCACGTCTCTGTAGACTCACACCTTCCACTTATGGTATCCCCTTCTGTGCCTAGGTCTGGGATGCCATCACACAGCCTGTGACACCTGTCTGGAGACAGTTCCTACTCCAGGCTTTCCAAACCCTCAGCTCTAGAGGCACTGGGAAACCAGCTCACTTTCCTGTCCTGCTGCTCGTGTGGCCTTCTCCTTCAATGATGTTATAGCCTCTCAACTGTCACACTCATGTTCAGAAACATCCTGGGGCTGGGCTGGCCTGGTGCTGTTGAAATTTCATTCCATGGCAAAGAAAACTCGTATCTGTTTACTAAATTGTTCCCCTGCATGCCTTGGGATTACCTACTAGGCCACCCACTTGGGACGCTGAGACATGAGGCCCCTGAGAAGGGCCAGACAGGCCTCTGAGCGCTTGCTCCTCTCTGGAGCCTCAGGCTGCAGGAGGATCTGCCCGATACCCTGCCAAGGGCTGCAGAATCAAGCTCTCCAGCAACGGGTCCTCAGCACAGGGGCAGCTAACTACAAATGCTGAACTCAAATGTACACGCAGGCTATTGTCTTTTAGTATTTATGGTTGCATAAGAAGATACTAACACATATTTATTTGTAAAATAGTCTTCCTAAGCTAATATTTTTCTTGTGAAAATGGACAAATAGAGATGACTTGAGTTTTTTTGTTTCAATTGGAATATGAAGCAACCTGATCAAGGCCTTATTAAGATACTGTCAGCCCTAAAATTTGAAATACTGTCTAAGTCAAAATTCTGAAGTTCAGGGACATTAAAAATGTCATCACTCTCAAATATTTATTAAAAGCTTAATAGTGATGCACCTGTTATCTTAGTACTCTTAAATTTTTGAAGAGTCTAACAAAAAAAGTGATAAGAACAAGTGAGATAGCCTATAAATAACAAGGAGCAAGGTTGAGAACCATTAATTACCAAACCAAGGAAAAAAGATGGAAAAATGTAGCAAATGGCATCTTTTTTGTCATTGTGGCTAAATTGCCCCATCTTGTCCTGAACTTGCAGTTCAGGACCTGTACCACGCTAGCCCCTGGCATCTTTGAAAAGCACTGTTAATACTATTTGAGTGACCCACTATTTTAAATAATCAAAGTAATCACAATTGAAAATCCACCTGACACACCAGTGAGACACGCAGGTGTTGAGAAGTTTGGTTTGATTTTAAAAATTATAGTAGCAAGCAACTGAGAACAAGTAGTTTCAAGGTTTTGTAAAGCCCTCACTGGTTTGATCATGAAGTTGTACGGGATCTCTGCAGATGAACTGGGTGGCATCAGACTTCCACACTAGAACAGAAAGGGATTTGAGAGATTTTTGTTATCAAGTGTGAATTAACTCGCAAGCTGATGAAGGCATAGCCTAAACTGTTCACGCAGCCCAGGATAATGATGGCTGACTCCAGTTAGGTAGGACAGTCATTTGTCAGGTCTCATGCTCCTGCCTGAAGAGATCCTGGTGAACAGCAGAATTGTTGGTCTGGGACTGGAGTGGCAGGTCACTGTGGGTCCGACTCCCACCAGGATGAGCTGGGCCACATTCCATCACCCCCTGTCCTATCTGACGGGCATAAGCCTTGGGGCTGAAGTGCTGCCAGAAATATGATTTTAGGTATTTCTAGTAGAAAGGTCATTTAGCAACACTTCCCACCAAAATAAGGCTAGAAGAGGCAATTATCTTTCCAGGGAGGAAGCGGAGGGAAGCACACTAGATGGGTGACTGTCCTGAGATCAGTGGTGGTCTGGATCATCTAAAACTGGGGGCCACACAGACAGACTGGCATGCAAGGGTTCACTTAGTGACCCCAAGGAACATGGGCAATGCAGGGACTACTACTCTGATGGCGAACGGGAGAGGAATTAACCATAAGAAGCCACGAGTCCATGGCCATGTGTTTTACTGGATGAATCACAGTGCTCTGCATTAACTTAATGCCGTTCTATTTTCTGGCTTATAATTCTGCAAAGGAAAGCACTTTTTTCAAAAGACTGTATTAGAAAGCCACATGAGTACAGCTGTTTTCTAAGCTCTACAAATGTTTCCAAAGATATAATCAAAATGTTTTTCTATTCATTAAAATATAAATATTAAACCTATCCATAGAAGCATTTTAAGTGTAATTACAAGATTATTATGCTTTAAAAATGTACCCTAATAAATGACATGAACTATAATGCTTACAGTGGATCTTAGTGCTTCAGGTCATGGGGCCACCAAAATCAATAATCAGAAAAGTAAATTATATGCCTCCTGGTTTCACTTTGCTCTCATTGATGTCATTTTTTGGTTACTTCAAGTCTGGTCTCTTGGCAAAAGCTCTGGTGATTTGATACAGCACATTTTCTGCTTATTTTACCTCTTAGTAATTGTGAAACATTTACACGCTCACCATCCTACTACTGCAACCACAGTCATGCCATCTAAGACACCCAGAATATGCTGGTTACACTGCCGTGGAAAATGGCAGAAAAAGCTACTCTCAAAACTCCATAATATAACAAGTCACTAAGTCCACCATGCAGCCAGAACTCGGTTCTCATAGTACTAAAGTTGGCGGATGACTGTTTCTTCAAGCGGTTATATTAATGATGCTAGAGTAGGGGCAGGGCACACAGACCTTTGTCATCCTGCCATGTTACTTAAAAAAACCTAGGATTTAGAGTTCAGAGAAGACAATCAAGCCACGTGGTTTCTAAACTGAAAATTGTTGCCATTTTCTGGGTTTCACATACATGCCTGTAATCCTAGTACCTGGAAGGCAGAGGCAGGACGATTACAAATCAGCCAGTCTGGGCTATGCATTGAGTTCAAGTTAGCCTGAACTACGTAGTGAGACTCTGTCTCATCCCCATAAAAAAAAAAAAAAGAAAAGAAAATAAACTTGTGCACACCCTTCTTTTCCCGCACAAAAAGGCTGCATTCTCCCACACTTTTACAAAGGCTTGGAAGTGTCTCGCAGTTGCTCACTTCAGCTCATTGCTTTTTCCCATTTCTTTAAAAAACAAAAACAAAAACAAAAAAAAAACCCTGATACCAAAATGGATGGGTCTAGCTACTTTGCAACAATAGTTAGTATCTTGATTCCTTTTTTTTTTTTTAAGACAGGGTATTGCTACATAGCACCGGCTGGTCTCGAACTCACAGCTATCCTTTGGCCTGTCTCTGTGCTGGGATTGGAAGCATGGGCCACCACACCAGCTCATTCCCTAGTCTTTGGTTCCAGGCTTCCTGTTTCCTTCTCACTTGTATCATCACCCTCATTCCAGATGATTTATTCTCAAGGAAAACCCACCCAACAATTTTGTCATAATTGTGTACAGATTCTTGTATACTCAGTTTTTTATTTTCCTTTTCTTTGTGTGTGGATTGAATACAGTGCCTTCCCCCTGAGCTACATCCTCAGCCATTTCTATTTTTTGAGACAGGGTTTTACTAAGTCACCAAATTGCCCAAGGTGGGCTCAAATGTATGACTCTGCTCTCAGGGCCTCCCAGACTGCTGGGATTAGAGCTGTACACCATCCCCAGCACCTCTACTCAGTTTTCACCATTTGCTTCTAGTTATTCATCAGGCTGTTTGTACCCTGAACTTAATGCTAAATCCCCATTTTCCTTTCTCAGAACCTTCTATTCTTGTTACTTTATTCCAATTGGTCAAGATTACCAAGGCCTGGTCCACTCCTGAGTGGCAGCACCTCATGAGACAACATCCTTCCTTAGTCTCTATGGACCCCCAACTACTCCCTCCACCAGCAGTTAAGCCACACCTGCTGACACACCTACCATCTAGGTCCGAGTCTCAGCCCCATTCTCTCTGCTCTCTGCTGTCCCTGGGTTAAAAACCAAAAACCGTAATATCATGGTATGAGGCCTTTTGCCATTTATGGCTCACCATCTCAGAAGTGGACTCTCCCAAAACCCACAGTGGCTGTTCTACTCTTAACCCCTCAGCTTGTACTGTGGATGCCTTTCTTCACCTCCCACTGGCACATCCCCTTACACATGTATGCATGCACTAACCTTTCTCCTCAGAGGCAGTGCTGTCCTTCCCCAAGACTCTCTGTCTCCCTCACCCATCATTCTCTCCTATGTACTCAAGACTTTTCTTCTTTGGCCTTCTGTCCCTCTGCATGTAAACATACCCAAGTCTCTTCTATCTTGCTCTTGGGAGAGTCATCAGTGCTGTTTGTTCTTCACTCCAGTTCACGCTTCTGGACCAGTTCCCACCTGACTTCTGCCCTCAGTGTTCTACTAAACTTCCTCTTGCTAGAGTCACCCATGATCTAACAACCACATCCAGTGGTCACATCTCAAGTCTCTCGACTTCCCTAGTACATGTGATACTGCTGAGCATTCCTTTTTTGATGCTGAATTGCCCCCTTTCTTGGCCGTTTTCTTAGTCTTCACTTGAAAGTGTTTCCTCTACCTTTCCATGCTGCTATTCACCAGAATCCTGTCTTTACTCCACACTCTTTCTCTAAGGAGGGCAGTCCAGCCTTTTGGCTTGCTTTGGCCATACTGAATGAAGAGGAATTGTCTTGAGCTACACATAAAATTTGTAATTAATATATACAAAGTAATAAAACTTCCTCTATATATTATGAAATAGCAAGCCCAAGTTTAGTAATTAAATAAGAAACTTTTGTGTCTGCTTCTAACTCTTCACAGGCACACACACACACTGTGGTAGGCTGGAATACTGTTATGTCACACCAGCACCCGTAACATCTGGTGTGTACGGGTTCCACTAGACTGTGGAAGTGTGGCAGGTCAGAGCTAGCACTGTGCTGTGCCCTCTCCTAGACACTGCACTGTTGGTACAGCCTCCACTTGAGCACCATGCAATGGAGTCAGAAGCGCTGCTCAGTCACATAATCATCCCAAGCTTTTATGATCCAGCAGGTCCTCATTACAGCTGTTCAGGGCCACATGCAGCCTTGGGTCACAGGTTAGACACACCTGCTGGACTATTTAAGCCCATGGCTGCCTCCACTGTCTACATATTGGCGACCCATCCTTGCTACCTTCTCTTGCCTGGACTTTTAAATGCTTAACTGGTCTTCCTACTTCATGTCACAGTGTCAGTCTCCAACCTCCATATCTGTCCTACATCTTACTGCCTATGTCATAATAAGGATAATGGCTTTTAGATTCTAGCATTTCTCAAATCATCTGGAAAGATTATTAAAAATAGTGCTGGGCTCCATCCAGAGTTTCTGATTTAGGTTCGGAGTACAACTCAAAAATTTCCATTTCTATCAAATTCCATGTTATATGATACTGATGCTACTGGTCTAGAGATCACATTTAGAGGACCTTGGTGTGAGAACACTTTGGATCATAAATTTTTAAGCCTTCCATTAGGTGTCTTTTTTGCTACAAAATCTCCCAGAGTTCTGTCTGCTTAAGAATTACTTGGAAGGGCTGGCCAGATAGTTCAGCGGACTAAAGCACCTGCTTAGGCAGAGCCCAGCGGCCAGGGTTCAACCCCTGGAGTGCTCTGATGGCCCTGCCCCCAGGGTATGCCAAGATGGCGATTGAGACTGGGCAGCATGGTGGTGTGCGCCTGTAATCTCAGTGCTTGGGAGGCTGAAAACAGAATCACTACAAGTCTGATCTACATAGTGAGACCCTATAGACCCTGTATTAAATACGTTTAAAAAAAAAAATTTGCTTGGAGTCAAGTGTGGTCTGTAACCCCAACACTCTGGAGTCTGAGGCAGGCGGCTCATGAGGCGAAGGCCAGCTTAAGATAAAGGAGCTAAAGGCCAGCCTGCAGTAGAAAGCATGACCCTTTAAAAAAATTACTTGGAGTACTTCTGTAACTGCATATTATTTAGCATCTAAGTATACTTTACTGGGCTCCAACCTCAAAAGTATTCAGGAGTCACTGGTTTAAGAACCTACAGCGTTCAAAACAGTAAAAA